TTGTTATCATTGTTAGAACGGTATTTTACATTTTTATTATTTACGAGCTTACCAGCGTGGTCCTTTATTGTTTGGTTTACTCACTGCTATTTACGTGATTACTTCGATGCTCAAGATAACAATGTTTATGTCATTTTCGCGTTWATTCTATAATTATTAAAGTTTAATTAATACTTAACATTAACTTAAACATAAGACATAATATTATTTTCTATTCATAGGTACATGTGGTGAATAAGTGTTTAAATTTWAAAAAAAAACTGTAATCATGCCGTATGCTAATCAACCTTCCGTGCATATATCTGAACTGACTACTGACTCAATTAAATTTCAAATTGAAGACACTGATCTTAGCGTTGCGAATAGCTTACGTAGAGTTTTTATTGCTGAAACGCCGACATTAGCCATCGATTGGGTCCAGTTGGATTGTAATTCTACAGTGTTAAGTGACGAGTTTATAGCGTCACGTATTGGTCTCATACCATTAACATCCGATGAAATAGTCGATCGCCTTCAGTACTCGAGAGATTGCACTTGCTCTGACTTTTGTCACGACTGCAGTGTGGAATTCAACCTGCATGTAAAATGTTCAGAAGAAATGACAAGACACGTAACTACTGCAGATTTAGTGAGCAATAATCCACGTGTAGTTCCAGTTACTTCAAGGAACCAAGATAGTGATATTAATGAATATGGTGAAAAAGATGATATACTTATTATAAAATTGCGTAAAGGACAAGAATTAAAAATTAGAGCATTTGCTAAAAAGGGATTTGGTAAAGAGCATGCTAAATGGAATCCAACTACAGGTGTAAGCTTTGAATATGACCCAGACAACACAATGCGACACACATTGTTCCCAAAGCCAGATGAATGGCCTAAAAGTGAATATTCAGAACTTAATGAAGATCAGCACGAAGGACAATACAATTGGAGAGCAAAACCAAATAAGTTTTTCTTCAATGTAGAAAGCTGTGGATCATTAAAGCCTGAAAATATTGTTCTTATGGGAGTTGCTGCTCTTAAAAATAAATTATCAAACCTCCAAACGCAATTCACACAAGAAATGGATGCACTCGCTATAAATTAATTTTTATTAATATCTATACATTTCACTGACTTTTAATACACTCAAAAACAATTGTAATATAATTCTTATATTTATTAAATTTTTAATTAATACAATTTAACAATAAATAATAATTTATACATCTGTACATTTATTTTACTATAT